TTTGGAAAGAAAAAAAGAGAGTTTTTATGAACTTTATTTGATATTATTTTATTATATGGAAACAAATGCATAAATCTGAAATGTGCTTATGGAAATTGTATTTCGAATTGAATTTGAAATTGAATTGCGTTATGAATTATAAATTTTTAATTCTAGACCAAAAATTAGTTTTATGAATTTTTTTAGCACAAAGCAAACTAGGCTTAAAGCAATAGCAATCTCAAATAAATTGTTTAAGAATAACATTTTTATAATTTGAGGAGTTTTTTCTTTGTAAACACAACTAGAAAAAGCATGCATACATTTAATTGGTTGATCTGCTTAATGAGCCAAAGATAACTAACTCTAAGAGTTGGCTTAGCCTTTTGTCTACTATGTAATTTTCAACAAAACCAATATACCCTGAATACTCACTTTCAACGGATTCGGGGTACGAAAAGGTTCGCTTAATTAGTTATCATCAGTAGTAGATTATTATCTTTAGATTATATAGACAATTTCTAGTAAAATAATTGTTTAACCCTATTATTTATAGCTCAGTTCAATTGATTTTGCTTTAGTTCAAGTTTCCTTCCCCAAAAATCCATTTCTACATATATATCATGCTAATTCGTTTTTAAACATAGCTGCATAGCTGTCATTAGTTCTCTTCTAATTGCTTTAGCTTGGGCACGTACCACGCTGCGTATGTGTAACGTGGGATACCCTCCATCACTTAGCTATATAACTCGCAAATAGCTACAAAGCCTAGATAAGCTGCGTAAAGACGAGCCAAAAATACCTCGCAAGAGCTGTAAGCTGCTCAAAAACCAGTGCATCCTAACCATTAAGCCTATAGGGTATGCAACGCCTGAAGCGTATCATATTTAGGTAATTTTGGAGCGCCTACAAAACCGAAGAAGACGAAGAAGAAAAAAGTGAAAGCCTAAAAAGTTCGAGCGCAAAACTTTTTACTTTGTCGTTGGGAATGCGAATGTGGTTACTAAAAAGCCTTGTTGCTGTTGTTGCTGCTGTAGCTGTGGCATGCGTTGCAGCCTCAGTATTGCCATTCGATGTCAATTTAAAGTTTTTTATTTTTATTTAGTTTTTTTCTCTTCTTCTTCTTTCACTTCACGTTTTTGCTTTACGTTCGGGTCGGATAAAGTTTCAGGAGCAAAGTTTTTCGCATTGTTCGCAGCGGCTGCCGGGTAATCGGACCCAGCGCCGGCAGAGGCAATGGCAAAGGCTAAGGCTAAGCTTGGCATAATCGATTTGCTTCTGCCTTTTCATTTTAATAACTTTCTGTTTTTTTTTGCGCACAGGGCGGCGCCGCAACAAAAACGAGACTGCAACAAAGTGCGGCAACAATTACGTGCGGCAAACAACCAAACTGCAATCGACAAAGCCAACAATGGCTGAAAGGTGCACAAAATAGAGCAGAGCAGGCGACAACAAGACAGCAAGATAAAAAGGGATGGCAAGCAGCAGCTAGTTGAAAGTTGCAGCAAGTTGCCAATGCCAAACTGGGTTAAAGACTTCGTCTTCGTTTGTGCCACTTCCCTTGACATTTGGCAGCAGCTGCTGCTGCTGCTGGTGCTGCTTCTGGTGCAGGTGCAGATGCATTCAACTGCAAGCTTCACCATAATTGAGGCACGCGCAAAACAAATGCTGAGAGCAGCAGCAGCAAAAACAATTTTGAACTGCTCTTATTTTTGGGGGCACGCGTTCTGCCAGCATGCAACGTGCAACGTACAACGTGCAACACGAAAATCATTATTTATAATTTACAATACGCATTTACCAGCTAAAACTGCATGAAACTAATTTATTTATGCATATTGCAACTAAACCGCAAAACTGGCTTAAATATAGCAACAAAAAAGATATATAGATACACACATGATATTACATTTTATATATATATAGACATATATATGCTTCGCCCACAACTCTCGATGTAGTTTAATTCAATTCAAGTTGATTAAAAATTAATTTCAAATTAAATGTGCGCTCAATGATTTTGCGCTTTCAATTGCCACGTAAAGAGGAAAAGAGAGAGAGAGAGAGAGAGGAGGACAAGAGTGAAAGAGAAGCTTGTGGCATCATTTGGTCGTGTGTAAATGTCAGGGCTTAGCGGGTAGTTAAAAGCTGTCAGCAAAAGTAAAAATTCGACACGTTTGCCCCAACTCACCCAGCACACACACATGAGTCAAATGGCAAAAGTTGCTACACACAGAAAGACACACACACTCGCACACAACTTATACAATGCTGACTAATAAGTACACGAGCAGCTCAAGCGGAAACGGAAGTTGTTGCAAAGTCCGTTGAAATCAATTTTAAAGGTAAACTTGTTACAAGTTACTGAAATACAGAAACAACTACAGCAGCTACAGCAACAACAATAACAATATTTCAGCAAAAGCAAAACTAATTGCAATGCTCATTATACCCAATATACCTTGTAAAACACATGTACAAACCTTAGGGCATTTCAAGTGCAGAGCGCAAAGTTTTCAGTGCTAAACAATCTCTGTGGAATTTGTTTACTAATAAGTTGCAGTGTTGTAAAGTGCTTTGTAAAGAAAAAGTTGACTCTAGCTAGAGCTGATATAGAATATACTATATATCATAAATCTATATACTTGATTATCAATCTATATTAATAAATTGATCAACATATTATTTCAATGTCTTACAACACTAACTGCTAACATTTTACAGCACTTTATAGCAGTCTATTGACAGTTGTGTATACAATAAATATTTAAAAAATGTATGCCTTTTCCCTTTTCCTTTTTATATAAGAATATAATATATTCTATAAGAATAGATGCAACAATTATTCCTTTAATTACATATATTCAACGATAACTTCCAGAGTTTGAAAACGAAATATTTTATAGATCTATTTTATATATAACGCATAACAAGTTCTATGCTAGCCTAGTTGACTCTTAGTAAATCCAATTAAAATTTACAGAGCATCTGCTAGTCGTGCACTTATCACTTGCTGTTGTTGATGGGCCTGTGAGGCAAGTGGTTGCTGTTGTTGTCAAAGCAATTGAAGTTGCAGTTGCAGTCGTAGTTAAAGTTACAGTTGCTATAGCTGTTATCGATTGTTGCACACACAGAGATACACACAGGCACACATGTAACACTCATATATGGCATATGTACTACGTGCTCCAGATGCGCCCCATTAGCGTTTCGCATGCCCCGGCAAAAGTTTCAAAATTTATTTGCCTCATTTTGTGCACATTGTTTGGCTGGCTGGCTGCCTGGCTGACTGCCTGGCTGTTGGAATCTGCGTGTTGTGGCACGGTAAAGTTGCAACGCCTGCAGCCTGCAATTAAAAGTGAAGCAATGCCCGCCTGCCCGAATGCTTCTCTAATGCACAGCACTTTAATTAACTTCCCCAGCCCGAAACTAATGGCAATTTATGTGCGTTAATAAACGCTCAATGGAAAAGGCAGAAAAAGGAGCAGTGTAAAGAGTTTAAGGATTTTGCATTACCCTCAATTTCCAGTCGACGTCTGCAATCAGCGTTATCAAAGCCATTTAATTCTCAGAAATCTGGCCAAAGTTGTTAAAAACCCATTTAAAACTGTCACCGTAATGAACGTTCAGCATCTTCTGAGCACTTGGATTTCATCTTTCCGTTCCATTCCGTTGCGTTCCGCCTTGCATTTTCACCCAGCTGCTGCAACTGGAAAATGGCAGCTGCACGCCCTGCCAGCCTTTCATTGGGGATGTTAATTAGAAAACTCTTGAAAATGATTAAAAACTTTCGTGGCTGTCAGGCGGCCAAAAAGAGTTGCCAACTTTTGCTTCCTGCTGTAAAAATGACACGAAACTACACGAGAAAGACGATGAGGCGAAGGGGAGAGAGAGAGCGAGAATAATGCGCTCTGTATGACGGCTGTGCTGTCAGAAACTTGAAAACTTTGCTCAGCTGCACTTGGAGAATCAGCGGTATATATAATGATAGCACTTAGAGAGTTGTCTCAAGCTTCCACTGTAATGCACTGTTAATCGTAAGGTATTATTTGGGTTAGTGCTGCGACTTAAGCTTCTGAAACAATTGAAAACGAAACACTATGCTATATAGCATGATCAAGGTAATGGTGTTTCGTTCCAGCAACATGTGGTTGATGTATTATATGACAATATTGACTTGTGGAACATTTGGAAACGAAACACTTGGAATCAAAATGCTAAGATATTTGAGAGATCTACGCGTGTTCCTAGGTAACTTAAAATACATTTGGAAAGAAACAATTCGTGTAAGTAAGAATAATAGTGTTACCAGGAGTTCTAGAATATTTGGCATCGAAACAGTTAGATATTTTCTACATCTACAATCATAATATTTCGATTATTTGGATTGGATATAATTTGAAGGTCAAAGCTCAAAATTAACTAAATTTATACGATTTAATAAAATGAGATTGATTTTAAGCCCAATTCACATTGCTTCCTTAACTTTTAAGCCTTCCATATGAAACTATAATCAATATTTCAGATCAAGTTTCGCATTCAATATCTATAATATTTACATAAAAATCGCAACCTTTGACGTCTGTTACAGACGTGCTGCGGCAACTCACGTGTTTTCTAATTCTAATTTATAAAGTCAATTCCGCATTTGCAAGATTGGATTTACAAGTGTAATACAGCTCAGGCTGCCGGCATTCTATTTGCTTTTCAACAGTTTAAACTGGCAATAAACATGTGCACTCTAATCAACAATTTGCACATCTCTGGGCTCAGCTACTGAACTGTGAAGCTGTGACATTGTGCGCTGCGACACCTGCCGCACCGGCCGCGCCGCAGCCCGCATAGCATCTTTTATTAGTGCCAATTAAATGGAATGCTACAAATAGACATTCAGATAAAGATAAACACCAGATACTAGCAGAAACCAGATAAACATGGATATACATATTTCACAATGCCAATTGTAACTGAAATCTGCTAGAGCAATCTGAGCGGTTGCGGTTAACTTGAGCTAAATTGTTTCGATGTGTGGAATCAGTTGACAACGCGACCTCAAAGTGTGCGCAGTGCAGCAGAGCTAAAAAGATCAAATTTGTCGAAAATGTCACGGAAGCAAGCGCAGCTAGTGCTCGACGAGAAGGAGAAACCGAAGGAGGAGTGGGGCAATGGCTTGGAGTTTCTCTTCTCCTGCATCTCCTTGTCTGTGGGCCTGGGCAACATTTGGCGCTTTCCCTACATAGCTTTTCAAAATGGCGGTGGCACCTTCGTAATACCCTATTTGATAGCGCTGCTGGTCATCGGACGACCCGTCTACTATTTAGAGATCTCACTGGGTCAGTTTCGTGGCGGCGGCGTATTACGCGCCTTCGATCTGGCACCACTGCTCAAGGGCGTCGCTGCCGGCCAGGTGCTAGCCACAAGCGCCTCCATCACCTACTATTCGAGCATAATGGCATTAACGTTGCGTTTCCTGCTGGCCTCGTTCAGTGCTGAGCTGCCCTGGAGCACCTGTCGACAGAGCTGGGGCAGTGATTGCCACGATGGTAGCTCGGTGAATGCCAGCGGGAAAATGGCACCAGCTCAGCTCTACTTTGAGTGAGTAAACTGAGGAAGCTGTGAATATATTTTCCTAGTTTACTATATAAATAGCAGAGTTCGAAGGTATATATTGGTCTGTATGACATTGCTACATATTTCTTTGGACTCTGCCTTAAATCTAGGTCTCTTAGTGATAGCGATGGTGATAGAGATGCAAAGGTTAGAGTTAGAGAAGAACTAGGGATTACCAGGATTTCATTGTACTAAAATTTAAATAAAATCTTTAGTATTTAAATAGAATTCACTTACTATATCATATCATCATATCATCAGATCATCATATCATCATATCATCATATCATCATATCATCATATCATCATATCATCATATCATCATATCATCATATCATCATATCATCATATCATCATATCATCATATCATCATATCATCATATCATCATATCATCATATCATCATATCATCATATCATCATATCATCATATCATCATATCATCATATCATCATATCATCATATCATCATATCATCATATCATCATATCATCATATCATCATATCATCATATCATCATATCATCATATCATCATATCATCATATCATCATATCATCATATCATCATATCATCATATCATCATATCATCATATCATCATATCATCATATCATCATATCATCATATCATCATATCATCATATCATCATATCATCATATCATCATATCATCATATCATCATATCATCATATCATCATATCATCATATCATCATATCATCATATCATCATATCATCATATCATCATATCATCATATCATCATATCATCATATCATCATATCATCATATCATCATATCATCATATCATCATATCATCATATCATCATATCATCATATCATCATATCATCATATCATCATATCATCATATCATCATATCATCATATCATCATATCATCATATCATCATATCATCATATCATCATATCATCATATCATCATATCATCATATCATCATATCATCATATCATCATATCATCATATCATCATATCATCATATCATCATATCATCATATCATCATATCATCATATCAACATATCATCATAACATCATATCATCATATCATCATATCATCATATCATCATATCATCATATCATCATATCATCATATCATCATATCATCATATCATCATATCATCATATCATCATATCATCATATCATCATATCATCATATCATCATATCATCATATCATCATATCATCATATCATCATATCATCATATCATCATATCATCATATCATCATATCATCATATCATCATATCATCATATCATCATATCATCATATCATATCATCATATCATCACATCATGATTTCATCTATATCAGTCTATATACATATTATACACAAAAAAATCTAAGAAGTCTCTCTCAAATTCTCCATCTAAATTCTACTTTCACATTCGTTCCATGAACAGGCGTGAAATTCTCCATGAGCTGCCCAACTTAGATGAGGGTGTCGGTGTGCCCAATTGGCAGCTGGTCGCTTGCTTAGCTGTGGCTTGGCTCATCATTGGCGCCGTGCTCATACGTGGCATCAAGAGCAGTGGCAAGGCCGCCTACTTTCTGGGCGTATTTCCGTATGTGGTGCTATTGCTGCTGTTGTTGCGTGCGGTGACGCTGCCTGGAGCATGGGATGGCATTGTCTACTTCTTTAAGCCACAATGGAAGGAGCTGCTCAATCCACTGGTATGGTATGCCGCAGTTACCCAGGTCTTCTTCTCGCTGGCCATTTGCTTTGGCACCGTGATTACGTATGCCTCCTATAACAATTTCCACCGGAATGTGTACAAGTAGGTGCCATGCAAACTTCACTCAACTGTGGCCAGCAGCTACATTTACCATTTGCCATCCCCATTTGCAGCGACATTGTTATCATCACAACAATGGACTCGTGCTCCTCGATAATTGCTGGCTGCATTACGTTTGGCATTCTGGGCAATTTGGCCAAACAGACGGGCATCACGGACATCGGCAGCGTCGTGAAAGGCGGCACTGGCCTGGCCTTCATCTCGTATCCGGAGGCAATTGCCAAATTTGAGTATGTGCCACAGGTAAGCTATCGAGAGGAGGGCGCGCCGTGTGCGCTTTAAAGCACAACTACCTAAAGATGTTTGCGGTCCTCTTCTTTTTGATGCTATTTGTATTAGGCATTGGCAGCACCGTCGGCATGGGCTCCTGCATCTTACGCGTCATCCGCGACCAATTTGGCAAACGTGCTGGTCCCAGCTGGGCCCTGGCTGGCGCTCTAGTTGCACTCGGCTTTGGCGTGAGCATCGTTTATGTGACACCCGGCGGGCAGTTCATAGTCAATCTGATCGATTTCTATGGCGTTTCCTTTACCGCTCTAATACTTGCCATTGGCGAGCTGCTGGCCGTGGCCTGGTTCTATGGTACGGTTGTGTTAACTGTGTTAACTCTAGCATATCCTTTTTCTACTCCTCCTCACTCTCTAACTGCATCGCCTGCACTTGTTTTTTTTTTTTTTGGCTCAGGCGTGCGGCGCTTCTGCGCGGATATCAAATTCATGATGGGCATTGAAACGGGCTGGTATTGGCGTTTGTGCTGGGCTTACATTACGCCCGGTCTGATGGCCGCTGTGCTGCTCTACACGCTGCTCAACATGGAGGAATTGAAATACAAAGGCGTGCCATATCCTCGTATCGCCAATGGTAAGGCAGCTCAGAGCTTACTGTCAGCATAAACTAAAAGCGTTTAGCAATTGTAGACTGCATTTGGGGCATTCAGAAACGCTGCTTACCTAATCAATGCCTGAAGACCTTTTATACCATATCAACTCATCATTAAGATTAAATAATATATAGCTAGATTTGATTGATAATTGCAGTCAGACATTGAGGAATTCAACTGCAAATATCAATTGGCCGACTAAATGGCCATTTACAGCTTATCAGATAGAATTTAGAAAGAATTTATCGCACAGAATACAAAAATCTGAAGCCTAGAACTGAGAAGCAGCCAATCAAATTGTAAAGAAAATTGTAGACTAATGAAATTCGTTATTAAATGTATTTTTGCTTATCTTTTATGCATTGATTTGTTTGTTGTAGAAAGTTAGTAAAAAAAATTAAAACTGAGCAATTTATATTAGAAATATTTGAGCACTGATGCCACAGCAGTTCTCAATTAATTAGCATTTGGCATATCTTCAAGGCAGGATATTATGAATTCATTACAAAAACTAGTTGAGAATTATAGTCCAAATTCAGAGTTAAATTATTCTAGCTTCTATCATTATTATATGTCCACTTGTTATAAATTTTAATATAAATTGAACTTAAACCCTTTGCCTTGCAGTCTTTGGCTACATCTTGGCTGCCTTGGGTCTGTTACAATTGCCTGGCTGGGCTCTTTATGCCTACTACAAACAGCGCAAAGCTGGCAATAGCATTTGGCAGGTAACTAGATTTCTATACAAAATATTAATATATATATATATATACACTATAATATTCAACTATTATTGTCTTTCAGCGCCTTTGTGCTGCTAGCAGGCCAGCCGAGTCGTGGACACCAGCCATTGCACAGATGCCACAGCAGTAACCAACGTTGCGTATACGTAATGTGTTTAGAGCATGTGTCAAGTGCATGTGGAAGTGTTTAAACTAGAATGTGTAGAGAGTACGAAAAATACAATCTTTTGACAACGTCAAAAAAAAAACTAAAGTCAAACAACAAAGTTCATTGTGTTGGGTGTAAACACAGACAGCAAATTTACTAGAAGATAAAAAAAAAATGAAAGCAAAAACAAAAAACAAACTTTATATTGACACACACATGAAATACCCTTTGTGACATAGTAGTGCTGCTGTCTGCAGTTTTATGATTAATTAAATTCTTGGCTAAAAGCAAAAATTATGTTTTTCACAAAGTTTCTAACAACTAAGTGAATAGAATATGTATGTAGCTGCATTTTACAGTTTCTAATGACGACGCTGCTGAAGTTTAAATGCTGTAACTGCGAGAGTATATAAAATGCTGCTGTTTGCAACTGGAGCGACAACAACGACAGCAACAACTGAGAACAACTTGAACAACAACTCGAACAACAACAATATGGATAAACTGAGGGAGCAGCCAACTGCAAACGCTTTTAATTACCCCAGGGCGTGCCTTGTGCCACGTCAACAGCATGCTGCATGCAGCATGCGGCATGTGGCATGCAGCAATCGTGCCCTCGCGCAGGATGTGGCATGTCAATGGGTGGGCGAAATAGCTAAAGCAACTGCAGCAACTGTAGAAATGGAAAATGAAAAGTGGAAAATGGGAAATGGCGAATGGGAAGCTGAAGCTGAAGCTGTGCTTTGTGTACGCGTGTGTATGTATGTGTATGTGTGCGTAAGCTTGAAATGCCAGACATGTCGGCAATGCGGAAATGCGCAAATATCAAATGAAAACAAGCGACTAAAGTGAACGAAACGTTAAATAAAACATTTTGCCTATCCGTTGTTCCACCAACTCATTTGAAGAGCGAGGCTGATGTGGCTGAGCTGCTGCTGTGACACAGGACAACAAATCAAAATGGCACACAAATGGCCATTGCATGCATGTATGCATGTGTGTGTGTGTATGCGACAAAAGTTGAAATGTAAATATGCAAAAGCGAGGCGTGCGAAAAACTCACAGTTCGGCATTGCAACGCTTTTAACATATGACAGCGCATTGCTAAGTGTGGGAGTGTGAGTGTGTGCTAGTGTGTATGTGTGTACGCGCATCAGTTGTCAAAAAGTGACAGTGTTAAATTTTTTCGCTTCTCGTCAGCCCTACCAAAGCGCTTTTCTTGCCGCCTTCATTCACAGCGCTTGGCAGCAACAACAACAACAACAGTAACAACAACAACAACAAATTGAAGTGTGTGTTGACTTTGACTGACGCGTTGTTAGCCGTGAAGTGTGGGTGCCCTGCGACGTCACAACCTTTTGGCATTGCGTGCTCTCACAGCTGGCACACCCACAACTCAAACGCACACACACACACACAAACATCCACACACATCCACACACATACAGCACACACATACACACAGTTATATACAAAATATAAAAATGGACTGCGTCAAGTTGGTTGCGTTTTTCAATACCCTGTAAAAGTGTTGCGCATTGAGGGTATTTAAGGTTGATTATTATTTTATGTATATTTCGATTCAACTTAAAACTTTCCAATCAAGTTCTTAACAAGAAGATAAGAGCTATGAAGCTTAGGCTGAAAATAAGATCCAATAAAAGTTCCTTAAAAAAATATCATATTATATTCTTATATGATTTATATTACTTAAAGCTACTGTCTATATAGTTTTTATGTTCTTATTTTTCTAGAGCTTTTTTATCTTTTTTAACTTCTCCACTTCCTTCTATAGCATTCATATCACATCTAGTTTCTATAGCGCTCATATATATCATCAATAGCTCCTCTAATTTCTATATCTTCTATATCTTCCATAGTATATCTAGTTACGTTGAAATGAGCAACAATATTCATACGCAGCTATAAACAGCCCAATCCAATCACGCTTATAGACCATGCAAAGTTCATGCATTTATGAAGTGAATTGGCCAACAATAGAGAGAAAAATCGAACAATATATACAAATATATATAAATATAAATATAAAGCTGTGTTAGCGCAAATAACCTTTAAAGGTCATCTTCCTAGTACCCTCCATATACATAATTAATAAGCAATAACTAAAGCCTACCCATACGAAAACCATTAATAACTTTGATCATTATCGAAAATATTTAACAAAGTTACAAATTATCAACGCATTATCAACTCACTAAGTGCTATTCACGCTATAGCTTTAGTCGCCTAATGTTTATTCAGGCGTAAGACCAACAAACATTAACACAATCACAACTTGTTTTATATAAACTTGTATAGCAAAAACATTTACAGGGTATGACTGAGCCAAATCATTATACCTCGTTTTTCTTTCTTTGTTTATTGCTTTAACGATGCGCGTAAATCTTGACATACTTTTCTATCCAACTAGGGCGACGCTAGCAGCCAAAGGGCGAGCCACACATACACACACACAAACATATTCACACACACACATTCACACACACTCACACACACTTGGCCACTTGCGCGCGCTTTATTAGCAGCGCTTGTAGTTGGCAAGCCAACAGCTCATCTTAGCCATAAAGTATGCTTCATATGCCATGCAGCTGCCACGCACACCCACACACATTCACACACACAGAAACGCATGTTCATATATTAGACAAGTGGCACAGCTGTCCACAGTTGACTGGCCATTCATTCAATTCCTGCATCCATTTATGTAAAGTGGCCCAAGCTGTTGAGAAATCTACCTTCCTGCCAAGCCAACGGCACAACGAGTTTTGGACATGTTCTGGTACTTTTGATTATGAATATGAAAGCGAATCCAAAAGCTGATGCCAAAAAGTTGTTGATAAAACTCTGATATGCACTTCACTGCTCTGCTATTGGCACTCAAAAAAGATGAGTTTTGGTCGGATTATGTTCATGCAGCTAAAACGTTTATCGTGTAGCCACGTTGAAGACTATGTCGTACCACGTGTTGTATACTTAATGTCAGCAACAGCAACAATAACAGCAGCAGTAGCTGAGTCACTCAAAAACGGAATCAACTTTGTAGGGCTTCAATGGCTGGTTGAGTGCATAGCAATTTCAATTTAATTGCATTTGAGATCGATGTGAGCCCATTTCACATGGCGTCCTTTTTGTGGCCTTGTCATTAGAAATTAATGGCCAACAACTTGGCTAACTGCCGTCCAATGTTCGACAGTTAGTTGGTTAGTTGGGTAGTTTGTTAATTAGCTAAAGTTCTTGTTTAAATATACATTATGCAGTGCTCGATAACTGAAACAATATGTTTCCTCTGTATGTGTGTTTGGCTAGGGCTGGGGCTGGGGCTGGGGCTGGTGCTGGGCTTTGTCAGCTGCAATTAAATCAAACGTTGCTAAAGACTTGCCCAGCTCTTATTGCTGGTTAATTTGGTCTAGACAACATAAATTTGTGGTGTTGCTCTACGTCTATTTACGACCACCGGTTGTCGCTTATCAAAGTCACAATAAATAACGAGAAAACACTGATGAACGCCCACACGCTAGCTAGTCAGATGGTCAATGTGCCGTGGCCCCCCTCGCGCGATTCCCTTGACAATTTGTGGGGTTATCGCTAATGCCATTCCGAAGCCAATTACGCTTATTACATAATTTAACAATAAGAACAACAGCAACGAGCATTTAGATAGCCTAAACAAATGCTGTTTAGCGATGTCAGCAAAATACATCATAATAAATTAAAAAAGAAGAATTCCCTCTGTGCTTGGCCGAAAATCAAATACTCTTTCGCGAAATAGAATATTACTCTCAACTGTAGTAGAGTATTTTAATAAGTAGTAATAGTAGTAGACGGTAGTAGTTGTAGGTAGTAAGAGTAGGAGATAATAGAAGTAGCAGTGGATAATAAAAGTAGTAGATAGTAGTTGTAGTATACATAAAAGTAGTAGACAGTAGCTGTAGTAGTAGATAAAAGTAGCAGATAGTAAGTGGATACAGTAATAGTAGTAGATAGTAGTAGTAGATAGTAAGTGTCTACAGTAAAATAAGTAGATGGTAGCAGTATACAGTAATAGCAGTAAATAGTAGTATATTTATATAGAAAAGTAGTAGCTGATATTGTAGTTACGCATAACGTATTTAATGACAACAGAGATGTACATCTCAGAAGGGCACAAAACCAGAAAACATAAGGACAACCCGAAGAGTCCCTAGAGTTTTTCAACCGAGAATTGGGCCTCGTACAATTGGGAAATTCAGCCGTTTGACGAGAACGAGGGAAATCGGTAAAGTGAATAGGGATTTGAGTGGCCAGAAACTGTAACAGAAACAGAAACACAACCAGCAACAGCAGCAATAGCAGCACAAAAGTAAAGTCAAACAATTAAGAAGGCCTAACAGCCATAAGAGCTGCCACAATTTTTAGACAAAGCCGCACCCCATTTGCCACACCCAGACAACTAACTAATGCCCAACCAATAGATGGAAAACAAAAAAGAAATGCAAGAGAATTGAAAGAAATGCGTAGAGGAAGCACCTCGAGCAGGACTCAAAAGGAGTTGCCATGCGTGCTGACAACATAATGCGAATAATGTGGAAAATATTTTCCACGTCTGCTAATGTCTGTCTGTCTGTGTGTTAGGTGTTATGCGAAAGTAGGTTGGGGGCAGACACCAACGAAAAACAGCGACAGTGAAATCCTATTAAGAAGTTTGCTATCGCAAATTAAAATCTAAATGCGCCAACCAAATGACGGCGACGTCTGCGCCGCGGGAGGGTACTGAGACGTTTTCTGAAGCAGAACAAAAGGCGTTACGCCCACAGCTGCTGCCTCACCCACACACATATACAGAGAGAGAGAGTGTCGTCTGCTTACATTTTGAATTATAAGCAAGCGAAAAATTTAATAAAGGTTGTCCCTAAATATGCACGCCAAGGCGAAAAGGCAGACTCAAGACAACCGCAAGACGTCGTGCAGGTTGCTGGGCCAAAGGCAGGGGCCGAGGGTGGCGCAGATTGTAGATTGACGAGGACGCGAACGGGGCTCAGACTATGACAATGTCAAAGAGTTTGTGCACGCAATGTGGGCGTGGCAGCTGTGGCCCTGGCCCCACAACAGCAACAAGAACAAACGTTGGGGACGACGGCAAAGTTTTCACTTTTATTTAAATACCCTGCACACGGTTCAATTGGCCAAAAAGGTATATTTATAGTAAAAAGGGTTGTGAAAGTTCTTAGAGCTTATATATGGTTTATGGATATCTAATAGGAACATAAAAGAAATCCTCTGGATATTACTAAGTTTCACAATCTCAAAAATGAGCTTTTTCTGGTTATTTGCATCAGTTGTGAAACAACAGAATTCAAATTTAAACTTTCTTTCATACTTATCGTCGGCTTCTGAAATTGAGCTCAGTTTGCAAAAATACAGAGAGATGCAGTTCAGAGAGAGAGTATTTTATAGTATCTTATAGAGAGTATCTTATAGTCGTTCTCTTTTTACACACAGAAACTCATATTCGTTTTTCATTTTAACTGCCAAATGGCAAAAGTTTTCC